AGTTATGAATGTTTTTTCTGTGAATATGAATAAAGTGGGGACCATTTTAGAAGGAAAAGGTTAATTCTTTGGTTGAATAAGCATCTTCGGACCCATGCAACAATGCTCTTTGGTCTTTGCTTTTCTGGAGACCGCATTATTCAAAAATCTTATCTTTTCTGTTTTTCTTAGCTTCTGGTTTTGGTCTGTGAGGTGTTTTTCTCTCTTTCTCTCTCTATTGTGCAACAATGGGAGGCTGTTTCTCTGTCTCGTTACCATGTGATCAAGTGGTGAATCAATGCTCTCAATGCTTTTGTGTCAAGGTGAGTTATATTCACAACCTCGCCGAGAATCTAGCGTCTCTCGAGAAAGCCATGGGAGATCTCAAGGCGAAGAGAGATGATGTTCAAAGAAAGGTAGACAGAGAAGAGTTTACAGGGCGTAGTCAAAGGCTTTCTCAAGTCCAGGCTTACGAATGTCCTCACCATTGAAAACCAATTTAATGATCTTGTTAGTACTAGTAAGCTCGAGCTTCAAAGGTTGTGTCTCTGTAGTTTTGGATCAAAAAATTTGAAATTGAGCTATCGTTATGGGAAAAGGGTTATTCTGATGTTGAGGGAAGTTGAGAGTCTCAGTTCTCAAGGAGAAGAATTTGATGCGGTGACTGAGGACGCTCCAAGAGCTGAGGTCGAAGAGTTGCCTATACAACCCACAATTGTTGGTCAGGAAACAATGCTCCAAAGGGCATGGAACCGTCTCATGGAAGACAAAGTCGGTATTGTGGGTCTGTATGGTATGGGTGGAGTAGGGAAAACCACCCTTCTCACGCAGATCAACAATAAGTTCTCTAAAGAAGGTAGCAGATTTGATGTCGTGATATGGGTTGTGGTCTCTAACAATGCAACAGTCCATAAGATTCAAGGAGACATCGCGAAGAAACTAGGCCTTGGGGGGAGAGATTGGGACGAGAAAAACGAAAACGAGAGAGCTCGTGACATTTACAACGTTCTTAAGAGGAAGAAGTTTGTGTTGTTGTTGGATGATATATGGGAGAAAGTGAACNTAAATGTCACTGGGATCCCGTATCCGAACGGAGAAAACGGATGCAAAATAGCATTTACCACCCGCTCTCGAGATGTGTGTGGGCGCATGGGGGTTGATGACCCGATCCAAGTCAGTTGTCTGGACACCGACAAAGCCTGGGATTTGTTCAGAAAGAAAGTTGGGGAAAACACACTGAGAAGCCACCCAGACATTCCCGATCTTGCAAGAAAAGTCGCTGGAAAATGTCGTGGCCTACCATTGGCACTTAATGTCATTGGTGAAACTATGGCGAGCAAAAGCACAGCACAAGAATGGCATCAGGCAATTCACGTTTTGACTTCATATGCTGCAAAATTTTCAGGCATGGAAGATGAGATTCTTCCGATTTTGAAGTATAGCTATGATAGTTTAAATGGTGAGCATGTGAAATCATGTTTCCTCTATTGCTCTCTGTTTCCTGAAGATGATCAAATTAAGAAAGAATGGTTGATAGAGTACTGGATAGGTGAGGGATTCATAGATGAGAAGGAAGGCAGAGAGAAGGCATTATATCAAGGTTATGAGATACTCGGCACCCTTGTTCGTGCATGTTTATTGTTGGANGGANNAAANNATAAATCGAATGTGAGTATGCATGATGTGGTTCGTGAGATGGCGCTATGGATAGCATCTGATCTTGGAAAGTATAAAGAAAGATGCATTGTGCAAGCTGGTGTTGGGGTACGTGAAGTACCGAAAGTCAAGAACTGGAATAACGTGAGAAGAATGTCGCTAATGCGGAATCAGATTGAAAAGATATCTGAGAGTCTCGACTGTCCTGAACTTACAACTCTCCTCCTTCAGGAAAACGAATCCTTGTCAACTATCTCGGATGAATTCTTTCGGTCTATGCCTAGGCTACTCGTTTTGGGTTTATCACACAATTCTCTCAGTGGATTGCCAGAGCAAATATCAGGTTTGGTTTCTCTGAGATATCTTGACTTGTCACAGACAAGTATAAAGCGACTACCTGTTGGTTTACAAGAGTTGAAAATGCTAATACATCTGAATTTGGAGTGGACGTGGAAACTTGAGAGTTTAGATGGGATATCAAATTTGTCGAGTTTGAGGACATTGAAACTACGAGAGTCCAAAGTGTGGCTAGATATGAGCGTAATGAAGGAGCTGCAGCTGTTAGAACATTTAGAGTTCATAAGCATAAGTATCTCGTCAAGTTTGGTTGGGAAGCTATTGGTATATGATAGCAGAGTGGGGAGATGTATTCAACACCTTTCTATTGTGGAGCGTGGGGAAGAATCAGTTAGAGAACTAGTTTTGCCAGCTATGGATAGTCTGTGTAAAATCTGGATACGGGATTGTGGAATTTCAGAGATAAAGATAGAGAAGACACCATGGGACAAAAGTCTGACAAGTCCATGCTTCTCAAACCTCTCTGATGTGTCAATAGAAAGGTGTGATGGTTTAAAGGATCTGACGTGGCTGCTGTTCGCTCCAAACCTTGCTGATCTTAGTCTTTGTGGGTTGAAGCAAGTAGAGGAGATAATAAGCAAAGAGAAAGCTGCGAGCCTTTTGGAGAAGGAGACATGTAATAATATTATTCCTTTCCAAAAACTAGAATTCCTTCTCTTGAAAGATTTGCCTGAGCTGAAGAGCATATACTGGAAAGCTCTGCCTTTCCCACGTCTGAGCCATCTCATCATATACGGCAATTGTCAGAAGCTGAGAAAGCTTCCATTGGATTCTAAAAGCGTTTTCAAAGTTGAAGAACTTGTCATACAATACAAAAAAGAAGAATGGATAAAAGGGATCGAATGGGAGGACGAAGCCACACGACAACGTTTCTTACCTTCATGTAAGCTGCTTCAGTGGTGATTTGAGTAGACTTTGAATAGTTAAAAAAGTAATCGAATCGAACCGAACCTATGGGCTCTTTTTTTACTCTGAAGATGAGCTCAATCTACTCAATCCTCTGTTTCTTCACTGTCTAATTCTCTGACTTAGACATTTCAGTGATTCAGATCAAAACATCAGTGATTGTATAACTTTACTAACATTTTGAAGCTAAGAAACAACACAAATTTCACAGATTCAACAAATTTGTGTTATAGGATATGATCATGTACAAGCAAAAAACAGTGTCTTGTTCACTGTGTTGGAGGAATCTTATCAGACTAAAGCGTAATTATAAAGTAATGAACTCAATAAACACATGATTCTTTTTCAGTGTACTTCTAGAGAGTTTCATCACTAAACAAAAAAAAAATGTACACTCGTGTTACACAAGACTCACAAAAGACATGACAGGCAAATTCTGCATCTTTTTGGGAACCATGCTTTGAGTTTTTATGGTTTTCTCAATAAACACACAATCTGCATTTCTCACCCTCAAAACATTTACGTTCCGTATCCAACAAGAAACCTCATCATCTTGATATAGGACCCATTCTCATTTCAAAAAATTCACCAAATCAAAAACATGAAAAGTATAACACACAAGTTTTGAAAATTCTCAAATACTATCGTAAACAATGAGATCACCACAAGCAAACAAGAAACATAGATTTCACTGACAC